TTGAGTTCATATATGACTATGGATGTGTTTTGTCAAGTTAGTCAGATTTTCATTCCTAAATCAATAATATTATGTAAGCAAAGTAAGTATTTTCCTAYACAAACTATCTTCTATCACATACTCTCCTAGTCAAACAGCATTTTAAGCTATGTTTGAASACTGAAACACCACCACTGAAAACTYRCAAATGGGTAATATGATACARAGTGCTGCAACAATATTACTGCAATATTACTCGCTTCTAATTCCACCAAATCCCTCCGTGCCACATTTTGAAACTGAGATGTGAAAGGGCTATTACTGTACTGCATTCATAAACTTGCATTATGTAAAATAAGTACTGACCTTGGGTCACAGAAATAATGCAAGCAGATTTAGAATTTTGCTCATTAGATCACGTACAAACTGGAACATATTTCATCTTTCTTCACAATTATTCAGAAAAGACCATGACACAATAAAAAATTTGTCAGTGGGATTTCTTGGAACATTGGATATCTGCCATGTTACTCAAGAATTCCATGTATCTCAGTCTCTCGGCTAACACAGAATTTAAACAGGAACACCCACAGTGGTTTTTAGAACATACCAGCATATTTTATTCTAAAAACCACAAGGACAAGCCCTCTGCTTTATAAACTTACATTACTTGTGTGTTTCATTTGGCTGACTGTAAATCCAGCTTTTCAGAGCTGAATCATTACAGTTTGATGACACCAAATAAAGGGGAGTGACTCATGCTTTCATGCAAACAAGTGGGCAAAAGTAGAACATCAGAGACACAAACRGCCTGTGCTCCATCAGGACACTGCCCCTCATCTTTCCAACCTTCTCAGAAGGGAAATTTGAGAACATGCAGGAGCAGCAGAACAAACATCAAATGTATTTTATGAACAGCCTGAAGAAATCCCACCTCCATAGAGGTCTCATGCTCATCCCTCAGTGCACACACCATTAAAATGAAGAGGGTGATGGGAGCACCACTTTAGCTTTTTGTAAGACTAAACAAGGCAATTTAGGATGTGATCCAAAGCCTGGGTGTGCAACCTCAACTCTGTTGAGTTGTAAGCAAGTTGAGGTGTAAGCAAGTGAACAAGCTTTACAAGGTAAAAATCATGGACAAAGTAATAGTCAAGACATGAATAACAGTCCAACGATTCAAGAAAGCCATACTGACATGAAAAGGTAACACAAAGCCCAAAAAATCTAACAAGGAAAAGAGAGGAAAGAAATKTCATGTTTTGAGCCACTTCTACTCTCTGTGAGGTCTCATTGCTCCTGCAGATGTTCAGGAAAGTGCTCTTCTCCCTTAATTGCCATTCACTAAATTCCTACCAGAGTCAGAGAAAAGCACTGGCATGAAAATGAGTGCCATACATCTTCCTTTACAGTCCTCCAGATGATTCATAAACAATTATTTAAATGTTATAAAAATGTTCATCTATGSGGTGAGTCAGAGAATTAGCAAGTGMCTTGTTTTCCAGACCAGCTGCGTGGACCTCACAGATTTTTGTCAGGACTCCTACGAGACCAAAACTATTTCTAAGACTGATTGCTTTGTGACACAAGCTGTGTTGTCAGCTGATTAAAAAGATACTGTAAGAAGGAGAGAGGTGAGGCTCAGGGTACTGAGGACAAACTTGCACACACAGTTTCACTGGCCATATTTACTTTTACACATACATGATGGACAYATTTCCAACAGCCTATTGCCACACCACTGAATGCAAACAACAGTTAGATGATGTTATGACAGCAAATAAACCCCCACACTGGTATGATTACAAGCATAAACACTCAAAACTATTGATTACAAAGATGAACATTATCTTCCATTTGGTAACACCTAGGCATGATTATGGCAAAGCATTTTTAAAACACCACCTATATCTGTAAAGGTCTTCCAGGCACCTTAGTTTGGTTTTTTGGTGGGTTGTTTTTTTTTTTTTCCCTCAGAAGCTTAACTAAGTACTAATAAAGGCACATCAGTGTTGAACTTCTTTCTTGATGCTAAGTACTGCACTACAGTGAGCATCATTCAAACAGTRTTTAATTTCTAGACATATGCTACAGTCATACACTGCAATGCACACTCTAAGCAAGTGAGAAGTAGACTTCATCTGTCCTARAGCTTTATTCCTGTTCATTCTTTAATGCTTGTTCTTTGTAGGAAGTGGCTCAGTCTGTAGGTGGAATCTGGAAATGAAAGGCTGTTCCACAATCATGGTTATGCTGTGAGCTGAGAAGYTAATTTTATTATTCATGCATTCCCAGAAGAGGCCAGAAGGACATGGGCACAATTACAAAACACATTCTGTACTCGTTTTCATATGGAGATTATTTCTAATCAACAGGAAGGCAAGGCTTTATTAATCTGTCAGAACTCATCAAGGGGTCATTCACCCCTGTTGTGATGAAATCAGAGTACAACTASTTTTGAATGAATTTTTCAGATTGTAAAAAGATGGTTAGGAACCACAGGGAGAAGGTAGTGCTCCAAATTCCGGAGTTTGTGGAGTCTAGGTTTACACTACAACACTACTATACATAGTGTGCTTTTACTTATCTTAAGTAACCACAGCATCATGGCAGTAAACTGTGACCATGTTGATAAAAAATACCTGGTGTTTAACAGCAAAACAGCCWAGTGTTACACTYTTGGCAYGAATTGCCAGAGAATGCCARTTTTAAAAAGCAGCTGCTACAATTRCAGCTATATTGAGGGATTAGCAATGCCTTTGAAATGTATCTTCATACTCTCAAGAGGTGTGTTTGCAGCTCAAGGCAAGCTGAACTGAAAATAAGCAATGTGAGCTGGAATACACATTGTGATATAAAAAATACCAACCATCTTTAGATACAAAACAGATTTTAGAAAAGCTGTCTCTTCACATTTGTGGTTTGCAGCCACCAATGGCCCAAAGCATCAATGAATGAGCAGGAAGAAGTGCTTGAGCAGCTCGGACATGCTGAGTCCTGCACACCACAGTGCGGTGCTAGAGACCGAGCCTGCCTCTGTCTGCACTCCCGGGTGACTCTGCAGTCACTCGAGGATGGAGCACAGCCTGTTCTGTTCACCCACGCTGCCCTCACCTTTACCTGAGAACAGCACCCAGCACCTCCCTGTGCGCTGCCCACCCTGCGAGCTCTGTGCCTGGGCAGGAGWGTGTTAAACCTTCACACAGCTCCTGCAGAACCTCAAAGGGAAGAACTGCAGGGATGGACAAGTGCTACACAAGGACACAAATTTTACTCTCTCAGTACTTTTCTTTCCTAGCACAGTAGAAAAGCAAGACAAAAATGTTCTCATGGACTGGAAACAGGCAAGGTCAGGGGTAATACATCACTATTAGCCAGGGCTTCCTCAGGAGGTTATGCAGCCTCCAACTTCGTGACAAATCATCACTAAGCACAACTGAAGRCTGGTATGAACTGTTAAGCCTGGAACAAGGGATAGACTAGGTACATGTGAGCTGGATGAATATTAAATTCAGGTAAATTTACAGCATTTTAGAGGTCACGGGTTTATTCATGCTCAGAAGGCCACATCAGCTGGGAATGCAGGGTCATGACAGTGCCATGAGATCCAGGAAAGAAGTCTGAAAATGATTCCTCTTTGTACAAGGAATACATCTTAGCAATTCCACTTTGTAATTGTTTTATTAGTTAAAAAAAAACATATCCAACCACTCCCAACAACCCTCACGGCACAAATTCTACCCTCTGAGTGCTTTTCTTTCCTAGCACAAAGGTCTGACAGCACAGCTCTCCAAGCTGCCCRTTCCCAGCCATGCCACACCAGSTCTGGGRAAAKKTTGGCACAAGTGTCAGGGGCACTGYCTGTTTGATCTAACTCCAGCCTTGGACTAAAGCTTTTAGGCTCTGTCCAACAATAATGGTTATCAGTTTGCTCTTTACAATGGAAGCTCCCTGTTCCCAAAAAGAAGCCAGGAGTTTCACTGAGGTAGCAATAACACAGAAATGTAGAGGCTGATTCTCAATTATYTATGCAAAGTTCAAAGTAATTTCTTGCTAACCTTGCCTCTTTAAAAACTTTCTAAACATAATTTGGCACTGTATTTTAAGTTGACCACAGGAAGCACATAACAGGAAAGTCCAGGAGAAGCMTTGTCTTCCCCTCAGGCACTTCCTGTACTAGTGACAAAAGCATAATGCAAAATTGCTAAGAAAGTGCTTCATGTTTAAGTTATGCTTTGTCTTCCTTTTAGGCAAGAAATATAAAAATCACAGCCTTGAAACAACAGTGCCCACCTCTGCATCACAGTGTCTGGTTAGACTCTGAGCTTTTGGGAACACGTCTCTGATAAACTAAGTTAAGGAGCAAACTCAGATGATAAACTCAGAGAATGACCCAAACCAAATTTCTGGCTTTCCTCCCACTCTTCAAGCACACTGGGTGCTTAACAGTGATTTGATATCACCCTTTGCTGAAAGAAAATTACCTATACTCCACTTCACTAGCCTTGTAATCAGTTGGCTAATGGAAGAAAAAGCTCAAAGGTCCCTTTAAGGAGAAAGCAAATAATTCAAGCATTCCCATGTTAAAAACAGACACAACAAACAATTGAAAAGGCCACAGATTGTTCTCTGATATTCACACTTATGCAATATGCCCAATCATGTTAACAGTGAATTCCATTTTCCTGCTCAGACATCTAAGACAATAGAGGCATCTAGGCAATAGAGGCAAGAATATGCAAAAGACACAACATTCACAAAAACTTTTTTGCAACTATCAATCTCTTTTTTTTTCTTCCTGAGCTCTCTATAAGACAGCCTTATTTTAAACTCTGTTTAAGCAGAATCTGTAACAGGCTAAGTCTCAATGCAGTTTGCTCCAGCCATGACTAGACCCTACATTGAAATAAGAATTTGGCGTGTGCTAACAATTCATTTTTCATCTCCGTTTCATTTCCATAGATAGAACAGGAGCATGAGCACAGCAGTACACAGAGCATGCTCTGTTTTAGGTACCTGACCTGGATGACTGGAGAAGCAGGATCTCAAAGTGTCTGCTCCTTTATCTGGACACAGCATATGATCTGTGCTGCACATCAGACAGGGATGCTTCTCTTCACTGTTCCTCAATTCTCACTGAAGTCTCCACATCCCGAGTAATCAGCACACTTCTCTACTGCTCCCCACAGCTCCTGATAATCTTGAACAAGAAAAAAAAGAGACAGCAAATATTGTATCCTTAACTATGRGGATTRTTGCATTTGTATTCACACAACTGACRAAGGAAGAGGAGAGGAATAAAAAAATCAACMCTGGACTCAGAGAAAGCTTCCATTTGTTTGCCAGAGGTTTTAGTGAAGATTTCAGGATGTTCTCACCGCTCACTGCAAGAGCAGGACACAGATTTTTATTTTAGGTGAACATGGAGCCTTAACAGTCTCCCTTTTCATGATGGTTGTTACCACAAAGGCAGGATCAGCGTGCACATTCCTGCAAATTTGAAGTTCAATACTGTCAAAATTCAAATTTGACAGTTCAATACTGTCCACAGAGCCTTCGATATTCCTTCCTCCAAAAATGCCAATCATTTCACCCAACTCTTGCAACTGGGAGGGCTTTCCTGTCATAAAAGGAGACACTACCTATGCTCAAATCGTTGACCCTTCTGTGTTACTGTAGAGGGTATTTTCTACAAGGCTCTGAACAAACTGCAGCAGGAGAATCTTGCTTGTGCTGAGTGATTTCAGAGTGCAAGAGACTGATAAATATATAGGAATTAGCCTTGGGCTCCAGTTGTAACATTTCTCTCCATAYTGAGAGGAAGATCCTGTGCCTGACAAAAGCAAAAATCCTGCAGGGAAAGTAGCTTTCTAAATCACCTTCGAAGCTGCAACTCAAGGAGTTCTGGGATTGACTACTGCAGCTAATGGGCACACAACAAAAGGCATGGTAGGTCCTGGGGCAAGTACAGATAAGCCCTTTAAAATACCCATGGGCCTTTCAGCTCTTTAACAGCATCTTGGTAACATTAATTCAAACCAAAACAGTTCCTCTAATCTACATTAAAATAGCTCTAATGCCACATTCCTACTGAAGGAAGCTATTTGCYTGATTTTCAGATAATTTTTTTCACSTATTTTTATGTGTCAAGATCAAACTCAGTTATGTCCTGATGAAACTTAAAAGTAAGGCAGGAGTTATTTGCTTCAGACCAGGGAGTATTCCTCTTGATTAAACACAATATGGAGTATGGAAAACAGATAACTATCTATTCTGAGTCTTGAATCCTTTGAGATCTGCCACAGCTCAAGCACTGGTAGTATCATCATGGGCAAGCTTAAAATTAAACAAATAAATAAATAAAAATCCTTTAAAGAAGGTTTTGTTTATGTTTATATCCTGTTGTCACCTACATGGGGATGCTGGACAAACCCAAAACCTGGGGCCTGTRTTCTACCCCAAGGTTAAAAAAGAACATTCTGCATTCTATACTTGCACACTTAAATGTTTTTTTAAATCTTACTGAAATCTTTAAACATACAGTTTCATCATTYTGAGTATTTCTATAGAAGACAATTAGAATATACAAGAAAGTGAATATATCTATAAATTATTTGGAAGAATACAACAGAGTATCATTCTCCTACTTTCTCAGGCATGCCTTCCCATATGAGAATCTTGTCTCTTAGCAAATAWATATCCAGGTAATTGTCCTCCTGGTGATGCAAGTGTTCCTTAATACTACAGGAAACATTCTGTTCCTRATGCTACTGATTGACAGACTCACAAAAAGCTAGGGGAAAACAAGACAATTACAACTGCTCTTAACTGTCTTTTTTGGACAATGCTATGCTTATTTTGCTCTTCAAATCTGAGATTTTTAGAGATAAATGTGCCTTAGAAAGTGTGTTTTACACCTGTAGACTAATTATTTTAGGTTGGTCTTTTCCCTTCCCATGAAGCCAACAGCACTCTGCCTTAAAGGAAACAAATGCTGCTTCCTGTACACAAAGCCATGTAAAATGGTGTTTCAGGAAATAATGGATTTTTTTTAACCTACAAAATAAATACCACACCCCAAACACACCCCCCAACTTGTTTTCACTTTGAGATTCATAGACTGCCTGCAGGTACTGCTGTCCTCATTCTGCCTCTGGGAAAGGTGATAAATCTTATCAAGAAGTAATTAGGACAGAGAGCAAACTGTGCTGTCAGCTGAGCCAAGGCAGATATACTCAGTTMGAGTTCCCTCTCCAACACTTCCCTCTTCCCACTGCCTACTTACCAACTAAACTGACCAAATGAGTCAGTCATTGCAACAAAATGATGTAATGCATAAAAACTTTGAACTAGTAACCTCCAATATTCTTTGAATGCTCTGGAATAACCTCTGCATTACTCAGGGAGCAGCAAGTACAGTTTGCTACTGCCTTGGTGACTCATGAAYAAAAAAACTAACTTGGCATCTCCTCCAGGTTGGTGTTACCCTCCTCCTCATGTTCTTCCATGACAAGCCAGTGTTTCCCAAAGTGGGCACGTAAGATGAGCACATCTGTGATGCTGGCTGCATCCCTGCTAGAACTGCCAGTGACTCATTCATGTGTGCTTCAATCAACCAGAGCTCCTGCTCTGTGCTCCTCTGTGTTTACACACACCTATCCATTGAGATGGGTGCATTCTGCCTTGGATATTTATCTGGCTAGCCCTCACCTGAAGGCAACCTGAGTGTCTAAGTTAAGCAGACTAGTCTCATGCTTCCTGGACGTGCTTTGTGTCCACAGATTTCCAGTTCCTCATGAAATCACCTGAATTACAAAAGCACTTTTCCAGTTATGAAGTCTTTGCTAGCTTCCTTCTGTAAAAAGGCAAATTTCAAAGCCTACCAGCTTGGGAGATGCTTCTGAAAGCTGTTCCTTCAAGTATTGTAGACTAACACCAGACCTACTCAAAATATCCGGGTATTTGTCAARGCCAAACATTCACCAAATTGTCTCTGACAGGTCTTTCTCTGCAGAAATTATCAAAAGAACCTTTTGGAAGCTTCTAATTTACTTAAAATAAGCACTAAATGCAGTCTAGAGACATCTGGCAGTGCCTAGGAAGGCAAGGCAKAAATAGCATCAAGAAACATAAGGTGGGATCACCCGCTGTATTTAACTGCAGATTAAAATGGATTCAGCCAACATTTAGCTGAATGTATCACTGGTAAAATATGAAAAGATGAGGACAGTTTGGTTTGGCCTTTGTTGTTTGGGTTTTGCCTTTTTTTTTTCTTTTTAAATAAAGACAGAACCGGTTCAAGAGTTGAGCATGAGAGAATTAAAATCTCTTAATTAAGTAAAGAATGTCAGCTACAATAGATGTTTGCCTCTTGCTAATGYAGAACTCCTTAAGCTGGTGTTTGTTTCAATCTCTACTGACAGTAAATCTCAATAAACAGGAATAAAGATTTATAGCTATTAAAACGTCAGTGTCATAAAACTTTATCTCCTACACAAAGCACAAAAGCAAAAGTTTGCCATCCTTCCTGGTTTTGACGCTGTATTAGCCTGGATGGAGCATCAAGACAAAAAAAAAAGACTGTAACTGCAGTAACCCCACCACAGTCCCATCAGGCAAGTTTATGTGAGGTAATCCTGTGCAAGAAGCTCTTATGAAAAAAGCAGAAAGAAAAGAACTCCCAAGAATACTCTTCTCCTCTATACAAAAATCAAGAGATTTTTAACTTCCAATCACTAAAAATTTAACTCGAAATTGTAAACAGCTTTCACAAAAAATGCCTGGCAGAAAGCATCTTAGTATTTGCTGAATTCTAACATAAAAATGCATTTACTTTAAAGCTAAATACTAGGAAGCTGACAAGAGCAGGGTACAGGACAAACTGTGCTGTTTTGCTCACCAGCTCCAGTAAGCCCAGTGTGTTATTTCTCAACAACACAGGCCCAGATCTCTTAAATCTGAGGTGAGATTAAAARGAATTAGCTTGTTCAATTAAGAAAAGGAACCTGCTGTCCTCTATGCAGCTGGGAATTGGTGTGTATTTGGACAGCARACCTGGGTTAATGCTTCTCTAGCTTGTACGATTTGTACAGTTACAGAAGAATGGTCAATAAACTTAAATGAACAAAGAACAAATATTAATGGGTAAAAAAAATTCACAGTTTCTTACACTGCTGAATAAAGCACCCTCACTACTGCATGGGCTCTTTGTAAACAGGCAGAGACATCTTGGCTGACACATCCGTGGTTCCCAACATCTCTGAGTCACGAGTGAAGTTACAGCTCCTGCACAGCCCTGATATCCGGTGTTTGCAGCAGGGCTGTGGGGGCAGACTAAGAAGGGAGAAAGGCAAACAGCTGAGCAGTGAATTCTCCTCTGATCTGTACACACTGGGCCCTTTGCATCGCCTCCTGGTCAGACAGGACAACTCCAGGCTCTCCATCACTGAGCAGCTCCAATTTTTGCCTTGTGTTAGTGTGAATCTGTTTCTCTTCTTCAATGGTAGATTTGTGGACTTCTATTTTCTTATCCTTAAAGATTCAGTTAGCCTGACAGTGCTTCAGCTTCATAAAAATCAGCTCAGGGTCTTTGTACTGCTGGTCCTTTACAGGCATGACCTCATTTTAGAAAACATTGGAGGAGGCAAATATTTGAAGTACACCTTGCCATGCCAATTTTCAACAGAACAGATGTTCATTAAYCCACAGTGACTGTTCTTTACAGAAYCTCTCCATTCCCTTAGTCTCTCTGCTCAGTAAGCAGCAGAAATGGTTTGCTGCCAGAACCACTAGTGGCTCAGTAAGCATTCCAGCTTTCCCACTCAGCATTCCGAGCAGAGGAATCAGCCACWGAGGGTTTTTTCCTTTCCTCTGATTAACACACTCATACGAAAGTTTGCACATGGAGAGCACTGCACATATTTTGGTACAACAAAAAACATCTGGCAAGCAGAGGCTGGAGCAATGGAAATCACCTTATTGGTTCTAAGGAAGACAAACGACAAAAGAGGCCACGAGGTGATGACATTCCTGGAGTTAACACATTCAKSACAGCAAGGGAAAGCTGCAAAGTAAACTTGAACTGCCTGCTGTGACAGCTCCAGAAGCTTTTTGCTGAGCCCAATGCAAATAACTGCTCTAACTTCCTAGCAGCACCACAATGAATAATGGCAGTAATTGCCTAAGAACAGAAAGAGGGAGTCTCTCCATTGCTAGTAGCAATATAGGAGTAGATATTCTGGACCAAAAAAAAAAAAAAAAATCCATCTAATTCTGTGATTCTGTGTCTTGCCTAAGGGAGGTCCCAATACCAACTTCCTTAAAAAAGGATGTTCCAAAAGAAGCCCTACAGGTTATAGCCCTGTAGGTAATTTACAGAGAGAGCTAACCTGGTTATCAAATTTCCTTTGTGCAATTCCYCATCACTTTCAGCCAAAAAGGCCAACACCCACTGTACTCTCAGTGATCCCCCTGGCTCCAATGCCTCTGTCATGTGGAAAAATCACTGCCACCATTTACCAGAGCCTCTTAAARGTCCAGCTCCCACTTCATAACCTAGGCCAGTATCTGAGTTAGCAGTGTCATGACTAGGGAAAATTAATCCTTCAGCAAGGAGAATCAACAGGTGRCCAYAGGAGGGGACTGCTGGTAMAAAAGGATCAATCAAAAGTGGAAAYTTCAGTACTCAAGAAAYCCTCTAATGTGGGGTTTAGAGAACAGCCTCTCTCAGCTGCAGGTAAGATACAACAGGGGTATATGGCTCAGCAAGCTGCCCTCCTATCCTTCCTTCCTGCTCTGAAGGATATTTCTCCAGGAATTCTGCTGGCTAGTTATAATGGCTTTAAATACACACAACTGCAAGAGTCTATACTAATAAAAGAATTGCTAGTCTTTCTGAGACAGGCATAATCCTTTGAAAAGGACTGTGGGCAGACTGCACATCACTCCTACCAACACCAAGCACTTGTGGACTGTCCCCTCTGATACAACTCCTGGCAGTGAGAGCCCTCAGAAGGATGGCAGTGCCCTGGAAATGATCTAAGCCAAATTTGAAGCAGCCTTGAAGAATCCATACGACACAATCTTTGCCACTCCATTAAATACAGCTGAAGTGCAACAGMATTTTCCCAGGTTCCACCAAAAAGCAGTCCTAAAAGTGACACCTCAGCTCAGCTTTTCTCTCATTTCTGTTTTGTAGTCTAGTTTCTTCAGAGACAGCAGTCAGATCTAACATACTTAAGAGGAGTAGCCTCTTCTGAATCCTATCCAACCTGAAATACTGGCTTTGTTGGCCAGAGGCCCAGGTGAGGCTGTAACTGTGACACTACATGCAATACCTTTGCTTAACCCTTTCCCTCCCAAATTGCCAGAATATATTTCAGCTATTTTGACATCTTAGCAACAAAGATCACTTCATATACAGCTTTTTATTTCACTTTCCATTTGAGCATGCCTAATACGCTGCTYTGCAGCCACTACAAGCAGTGCAGTCCCTTCCAAGCTGTGAGTCAGAGGCTTTGTCTTGCAAGGGCTCAGTCTCTGCAGAGGCCCCAGGGCCAGAGGCTGCTGTGCCAAGTGCCTCCAGCCTGTGCTGGGGAGGGGCTCAGCAGCACCCTCACCTTTGGCCAACTGCTCACTCTGTTCCACCCTTCCTGACTCAACCTCAAAGTACAGCCAAGTGAACAATGTCCTTCTCCTTTCCTTGTCCAAATAGGAGTCTGGAGGATTACACACACACAGAATCCAGGTTATTTGAACAGACTTATTTTCAAACAGAGAATMCTGTAACTTCATAGCAAAGTGTTCATAAACATTTCTTCAGCCATGCCACAGCTAGCTGACTGAAAAAAAAACCAAAAAAGTTAAACTAAATGTTCAAACAAATTCCTGGGATACATCAGCAGCTGGGTYTGACAGTTGTGAAACTCATTGTCTTTAAACACAGCAGCTTTCTAAAGAGTTTCTGTCCTTAGCTCATTATCYGGAAAAACATTTTCTTCCCATATTCGGGAAGAAATTTTAAGAAGGCTTCATTTGCCATAAAAAAACCTTACAGTAATACATGTAATTCCTCATGCWAACATTCTTAGAAAGCAACTCTTCAGAAATTAAACATTGTGTTGGTTATAAGTATCATGAAAGGAAACAATGCATATGTATTATGGAGAGGGTCACATCTGGAAAAATGAAATTTGAGCAAGCTGAACAAAGGCGCTTCTAAATCCTTCCCTTTTCTTGTGCTYAGTGCACATTGGATTGTGTGACAATTTACAGTGGGAGAGATCTCACGAAGTCTCTGGTCCAACACCCTTCTCCAGGCAGAATCACCAGCCACTAGGTCAAACCAAGTTCTTCAGGCTTGAAACCCTCCATGGGCACAGACTGTACAACCTGTTTTAATGCTTCACTGTGAGAAAGTACCCCCGCTACACATACCCATGGAAATGCATGTTTTCAACCACAGAAGTTCTTTTTCTGACAATTTCTTCCCTTCGTTTCCTAGCTGTCATAGTAACATACTCAGATCCCTGCTCTCATCTCGCTCCTACTTGCCCCCTCATTCCTTTTGCTCACCCTTGACTTCTCACTTCCACCACACCATCCCCCACACCTTAAACATCTTCCTGCCTTTTGCTTAGAAATGGTCGTGGGATTTTAAATCTTTTTAGCAATAAGAATGCCTGCAGGTGCATGCAAAGAAAGATCCCRCRTCACCWTTCCGCTTGAATTCCTCAGTGCAAGATGAAGGATGGCCAGAACTTTTCCATTCTGCAGGTAACTGCATTCACTGCAGTCTCTCCTTCCTCATCCCAAAGCATTCCCCAGGGTGTCACAAAAAATCTCCCATAAGCAGACAATGAACAGCAACTACCATTGTCTTCAGCTCCTGCCCTGGAGTGTACCAGAGCAGAGCAGATGAAGCCAAATTCTACTGTGAGACAATACTATCACAACTCCTGTGCCATGTGCCAGCTTCTACAGAACTTCAGGCAGATGGCAGATGTGGTCCAGCTGTGCAAACCATCCCTGAAGGAATTCCAGATGAATAGTGGCATGAGGAAAATCCTGACAGATTGCTTCCCCACCCAAGGGGAAAAAGATTTCAACAACAACAGAAAAGATTACAGACTGGGATATCCCAGCTGCCTTAAATCTGACTTGAGCAGTCAAGTCTTACTTCGGGTGACTCAGGGTTACTCAGCTATCAGGACAAATTATCAAATCAACCCTTTCACTCTGACACCAAGAAATAATGACTCTCGTGACATTTCTTCCTGTTCACTTGCTTGCCAAACAACCTTGTTGATATCTTCTTTTATGTAACTTTTATTGCATAGAATATTCTTAGGCATCTCCATTATGGAGCAGGGGAAGGATTCCTTTGCCCCGAGCAGCAGGAAAAATATCAGGTAATGAACTGACCATAAACTCATTCCCTGTCTCTTTGCACCACTGGGGGAGGAGGTAAGCTGAGAACGAGGGAGGGGTGGGAGAAAGGTGTTTTTAAGGTTTTATTTTATTTCTCATTACCCTGCTCTTGATTTTTTTAGTAATAAATTCAACTRATATCTCYAATTCAAGCCTGTTTTGCCTGGGACAGTATTTGGTGAGGRACCTCTCCCAGTCYTTRACTCATGAACCCTTTGTTATATTTTCTCTCCTCTGTCCAGCTGCCCACTRTGGAGGGCAGTGGTGGAGAGGCTTTGGTGGGTGCCTGGCATCCAGCCAGGGTCACCCTGCTACTGTCAGGTATCACACAGCCATTCTTTCACAAGCAAACAGGTAGGGAAGGCACTATCCCTAGGACACTTGCCAATATTCTTCTTCTTGAGCACCCTACAGTGAGGCTGCCTACTCAAAAAACAGTTTGTCCCTACCTGGCAGTGTGCTCTAATATTCTACTGTAAATTTTATTTTACACCAAGCATGATTTTTTTAAAATAATGCATAACACCATACCCGACTCCATCCCTGCATTCTGCTTCCAACAGAAGCCAGCAAAACACGTTAGAAATAGGGCAGAGGAACCTTCAACTTCTGTCCATCATCTGTTAGAGATTCAGCAGTTGGCTCCAGTGCCCTGTCACAGATGACAGTATGATGGTTGGTTTCCTGCTCCAAGCCCTCTTCCTCCTCCTCCTTTCTTGGACACAAAGRCACAGGACATGCTGGACCAGCCCCTCAGCCACCAGGAGCTCACCCTGCCCTGAAGGAGCACCTTTGCTGGTGACTCCACTGAAACACGCGCTGCTTAAAGCCACRTGTTCCTCAGCCTGTGTTTGTTTTAAAATAGCCCATAACCAGCTCATTCTACAAACTGAATCAAGAACCTCCACACCTTAAATCATAAAGCATATCCTCCACTAACTCCTGGAAAAATGCCCAGAAAGAAARCTAAAAAGCCTGAAAACATCTGATTTGCTGACTGCTGAAATCTGCTGCCTAAGTTCCTGCTTAGCACTCGCATGGGTGCCTCACTCCAGCAGAAGGAACAGCATCCTAACCCATTGTACTTAGAGTAATTAGATGGCTGTTCCCACCAACACAAGAATACACTTCTATACTTGAATGAGTTGAACTAAAAAAGTAAACTATTTTCTTTCCTTCCAACCAATAACAGCAATCACAAACAATGGCTGTTGCCATTTCTCAGAGTAATTTCTGTAAAAGCAAAACTGTAAGAATATCAAAACTATCAATGTACATTAACTCAATGTGAATGTAATATTTTAAAGTCAA